ATTTCACTCTCTCAATCCTGTCGTCTCATTTTTTCACCATTGTTCTTTTTCTCATATCGAGACTCTGCCAAATTCTGGTCATGTTGTTCCACATCCAATCGTCCGGTATCTCATAATACGTGGCTTAAAAAAGGCCACATATTTTATCTCTGTGTTTTTCGGATTTTTAATTATTCTCTTGTTTGTCTCTCATTTCAACTGTATGACGTTCGGCAGAGTTATTATTCTTGTGCATTACACATTACCAATAAATTCGTCATTCCGTTCCGCAAGACAAGCCATGCTCCATTAATGTATGACCGTGTGTGATGGGATGGCCAAATGTGAATCTCATTTTAAAAAGTATACGTCGTACACATGTCTGGCATAACTATTATTTTATAATGGAAAGTTTTTAGCTTAAATGTGGGAGCTGTGGTGGAGTGACTGGACCGAAGGAGGGATTTGAATGCAAACTATGCCCAAAATCCTGCTGCTGCTCTCACACTGCTTTCTCATCACTGTTATTATATGTTCTCTCGAACTGCAAGTGGTGTTGGAAGGGTTGGTCTGGTGGTAATTACATGAAGAGCTTGTGGATGATCAATGTGTCAACATATGCCTTTGACAGTTCCCATTCATCTTTCCAGTTTTTTTTTACTTTTTAAAGTTTTAAATCCCAAACTGGACATTCACACGCTCCCTCCTCGATCCATTCCGCCTTGATATTTTGGCAGGCTCATCAGAATTGCCAATGTGGGTATAGTGGCAAACATATGATGTATTATTACATGATATGCATAGGCCGCAGATTAAAAGTGGACTTGTCGGTTTGGCCGTGTCGTATCTCTTTGTATCAGAAAAAATAGAATTTAGCGTTGACATCCGAACTGACTGACCGAGGGTCCCTCACGATTTCTATGCGGTACATGGTAATCCCACAACAGATCGCAAATCCACGAGAGAGAGTGGATCAGAACAAAAACGAGTGGTTGTGCGACGACTGAGGGAGAAAGTGAGTTGTATGTAAATAAATAAACAAGTGATGGAGAATATGTATGTACGTGTGTATCGTCGTAAGTGATAAAAACTGGTCGGGTAGGTCGTTGGTCCACACACACGATGTGGAACTGGTCGGCTATTTAATTTGCATTCGAACTGGACACTGGCACACTCCTCATCAAAGGCTCAGCTGACTCTGTGAATGAAGGGATCCTCCTGCTGCCTCATGAATGAATGGAACACGGGCCAACGACGGGAAAAAACTGAACATTTTTATTGTTTCATATTTTTATTCTCTTCAATGTAACGCATTTATGATACGATACCTTCCCCTTCCCTATTTTTGCCATATACAAATATGCATGCAACTGACTGCCTGCATTCAGCCGTCCCTAAAACACGCACCACTACCACCCGTATTACGAACATACATACGTACATACATGTTCCATCCGTGTAATTATCGTTATTACCACTCCAGGATTAGCGACAACGAACGAATCTAGTCCTATGTGTGTCCCAATAATCAGTATCCCCACAGTATGTATCTCCAGTTTGGTGGACCCTAATCCTAGTCCGGCCAGAGTGACACGACTGTTTCCCATAAAATAAAATAAAAGCGGTGGAATGGAGGTCAGGGGTCAGACGCAGCCAGTGAAATAAAGGATCCCAACTAATTTCCTACCCAACGGGGGTTAGAGGTCGTCACTGGTTCCCATAAAATGTCAGCCGCAGCGACTCTTCTTCTGGCTAGTACAACCAACCCACTCACTTTAATAAGAGCGTGGCAAAGGCACATTTCTACACTGCATGCATATACAGCGATGCATAGGTCAAGTCCATCGGAATAAAAGAATGGTAGTAGTTCCTTCGAAGACGACGTAATAATTTACCAGGAAGAGGATGGTATTAGATTGGGTGGTGATGCGGGTGGTGGCGAAGAGGGGATTATTTTTGGCTGGAGAGAGTGACATGGACATCCTGACTTAAAAAGGAAGGAAAAGTTGCATGACAACTGACTTGTACTTTTAAATATTTACTACATAATCGTGGCGTCGTGGTTAGCAAGTTGCGAGTGCGAGTTGTTGGTTTGACCTGTGTCTCATAAACATGAAGCAGGAATGGCAAATGGTCACTTTCAGCTTCCTCAATTACACGAAATGTAAAAATACATTTAAATGGCATCCTCATTTCTTAGCACACACTCACTCACTGCACATATGAGACGGCTACACCCAAGTGTAGTCATGGCTCGTTCTCAGGTAGATACACATGTGTAGCTCCGTATACGTAAATTGGCAATGAGTAAGTAACTGAGGAAACGAAAAGCCACATACAAAGTCCATGTCCGTTATTCCCATCGTATTCCTGTGGACCTACCGACACTTGCACCGACTTGGTTTGACTTGACGTGGTGGTGGGATTGAATTAGATACGTTGTCTCGTCTTATTGGGATTTGTTTCGCTGGTATCGGACGACGGATGGACAAGAAAGAAGTTGTTGGTTTGGTGTAGGAGGAGGAGGTTTAGTAGAAGTATTGTCCATCCGGTCCCATTTTTTATTCCCTCTCTCTCTCTCTCATTTATTACCAACTCTGCTAAACCAACATATCCATCCTATCGCTAATCATAAGTAATGTCAGCTCAAAAAGAGAAATATGATGCACTACCTTGAAAGTAAATACTTTTCTGCAACTTATCTATCTACCGTTCCAACGACGTAAAAGTTTGCATTTTGCCCACCATACGTAACCACAACGTTACAGGCATACGAGTTAAAAATGCAGAGATAAATAGCCATTATAGGAATCTATGTATTACTTCATCATATCCATGCATGTACATGTATGCCTCAAGGTGTGTCTCAAATTTCTTGCCCTGTTGAATTTTATCTCATCTCTGGTCAATAGGGCCAATTATTATTGAGCAGTATTTTACTTGTTTGATATTGGTTTGTGCAAACATCCACCAGACGATAATACGCAATATTTTTCATCTAGTCCTAACCTACTCGGGTTATAGGGAGGCTTTAACAGGGCAGAATATACATATTTGGTTGGAATTTCGAAATATGAGAATGAGAAATTAACCTTGTCCACTTATTAGCCTAATACAGCAAAGTGACCGATCAATGCCAATTTTATGAACCATTTGACACTGTCCCGTCATTGGAACAATGGAATGTTTGTTAACAATAAAACTCAATTTCACTTGATTTTCCTTTTACAAATCAAAATAAAAATTTGGCCAGTTGCCAACCATTTTATGCAATTGCAAACTGCACCTCATCAACCTTGACGACAAATATACGACATTCACAAAATTACTCATCTCTCACTTTTACCAAAAAATGTGCACATACTTAAAATACTGGCCAATCCGCGCCGCATAAATAGATTTAAGAATAAAGGCAAGAAGGCAGGAACCGTTGAAATATGAATAAGTCAAATACATAAAAAAACCTGGTAGTCGGAAAAAAAACGGATAACTTTCATCCAACTTCACATCCATAACGCCATAACAATAATAATACTACACACAAGAGTAGAATGTGTATGTCATGTCATGTCATGTGCACCATAAAATGGAGCAATGAAATTTAAAGTCCAGATGTGAGACATTAACAATAAGAACATGAAGTGGAATTATTTAAATAAAGCACGTAGTCACCAGGCAAACAAATCAAATCAAGAACAGTTTTAAACTAGGCTGACTGTTTTATACGTACACATATGTATCGTTAAGTTGGTGGGCTAAAAAAAAGTGCTGGGAAAGGTGAAAAAATCTTGGCTCTAAGGGCAAAAAGTCACTTGCCCATTATTCCTATGAATTAAATGAGTAACGTATCATTTAGATGTACGTATCTCGCAAGTGACTGAACGATTGGATTGCATAACATGTCGTCGTTCGTAAGAAGCAGCAGCAGGAATGAGTGAGAGAGTTGGCATAATGTTTTTTTTCTCTCTCTCAATTTAAACGGGACCAACCAAACATCATCATCCGAAGGTATATCACAAACCAGCGAATGGTGCAGTGCATGCGATACAAAGAGGAGAAAGAAAAGGAGAGAGAGGAAGGATGAATTAGCATAAAAATAAAAATCTGCATCCGTAACGAAAGAGCTGACCCTCAAGGGCCCCTTCCATCCAACAGGGAAGGAAGTGACCGAGGGTCCTATACGTTGAGGTACTACATATGCCCTTGCGTGAATCTCAAATCAATTTTTTGCTTAGGGAAGAGGCAACCAACCCGAGCAAAAAACGGGTTTATTTAAATGACACGTAACTCCTTTTTGGGTTTTGCATTTTGCTATATTAAATACGTGAAGGAGTTGGGTTGTGGTGGTTAGTTCTCCCCGAGCAAAAAATCCTTCACGGACAATTTCTTTGAAATTTGGAATATTTCTGAATATTAATTTTTCTTTATTCCTTTGGGTTCACACCACTTGCTTGGACAAACTTGGTCCAGTAGAAGGGAGAAAAAATTTCACACGGTCCGAGAGAGGGCCAGCAGCAAAGAGGAACCCAAAAGTCTTACTTGGTCCTCATTCATATTCATGGATTCCGAAAAGTAAAGTAAAGGACTTGGTCAGGGACTCATTTGAATACGAACAAAAAGGTGGTGGTTCATTCAGTCAAGGGACTTTTGAATGACTCCATCATCCGTCTCTTATTAAGGATAAGTAGTGGTTGACTGTACGTATCGGCAGGGTTATTATTGTTATTAGCACCCCACAGGAGAAAAACCAACAAGAGAGAGAGGACCGAAATAAACTTTCTTATCCGAAGAATCATGAGAAAATCTGCGAAACAGACCCATCCTCTCTCTCTCTCCTTTATTTACTATCTTTTCATTTCCCTTTTCATGCAAAATTCCAATAAATCAAACTGCTTCCTCCTTTTGTACAAACCAAACCCAATAAATGTATACAGAGATAAGTAGTCAACCTGCTCGCAAGGGTCATTTTCTTACATATATGAATACTAGTGTGAAACTTGCAAAAAAAATGTTGCACTCACCTTGTGCAATTCTGAGTGCAGGGGTTTTAATCCGCATCTTTTTGTCTTTTATCACTTTTCAGAATTGCAACAGTCAAGATTCCACCTCGCGTTTTGTTTTTCTTAGTTTTCGACCACAAGAAGAAGACGACAAACACACGAAACGGTCACGACATTTCCTCTCCTCTTTCACTTCAAGAGCAGGTCAAGCAATATGAAGCACACTTTTTCAGAAAATCAATCCTCTTTTCTGAGACACTGCTGGCCATCACAGTTACTGTATTACTTTTGATAAATGTTTATTATTTGGATGAAAAAAATCAGGTAATTTGGTCCCGATGGATAAGGTGACGACCAAAAAGTTGACAGGGTACAAAGTTCTCTCAACTTATTTATACAGCATACATATTTCGTCTCGAGAGAAAAACGTCTCGATTTCCCTGTATGATCCAATTGCTGGCCAGTGGTTTTCCTTTTCTGTCCGAGTTTCACCAGGATCAGTTTACACCACTCTTATTATTGTTCACTCACTCAGTCGTCTCACTCTTATCACAAGTCTGCCAAGTGAGACAGTCACTTTTCCAATTGTGTTTTCCATCGTATGAAAAAGCTTTTCATACCGAGGCCCGGAACAATGCTTTCGTAAGGGTCACGTGCCCATGACTCCCGTTCACCGGCCTCTCTCCATCCCCGAGGGGGAGGGGTGTGCGTGGACGTAGTGGGTGTGGTGAGTACGAAAGTGTGCGGTGACCACCCCGTCGGATTGACCTGGTCGAAAAGCGTCAACGTTATGAAAGTGAGTGGATACTGGTTCGTGAGAGAGTGGAAAGAACGTTGTGTGTCCGTGAATGGCAAGAGCTATAGCTCAACTGAACTGAACCCGATGGGCTGCTCTCTCTAGAAAGGACTGACGAGTTGGATGCGAAGAGAGTGAGACGACGAGGACGACCAGTGAGCCTCGTAAATATGTTACGTACCCCTACAAGCTGTATTTTACCACGCTTACGCATTCTGACTGACTCCTCCTGGACATCGGCGCGGACATGGGGTTTTTTACCCAATTGACCACACGCCGACACTCCCACAACTGACCAGTGGCCACCCACCTCGCCCACACCCGGGTTGTGTGGACAACAACGGAATTCGGGCTGAAATGAGAAAGTGGCCTTTTATTCGTGGTATAAACTGTGTAGATCGCTTTCACTTTTAGTAATATATTCAGGTCTGACCAGTTATCGCGTGTCCTATTTTATAAAAAATATACTACTTTGATGCATACTTGGGAAACTCACCATTTCCAATTTAGTCTTGGTTATTCACCCAACTTTTCCAGGGATCCGTGCTACTTGTTCCCATTAAATATTAATTACGCCTTCGGCGTACTACTCATTCATTCATCTTCTTGCTCCCGGTATCATACTTGGCTTCCACTTTCTTCCCGGGTAAGGGATTTACACTTCTTAACTTACTTTCATTCCAATATACGCATATTGTGGATAGACGTAGATGTAAGCATAGCAAACTCTGTTGCACTCATTCATATATAATTTCATCGTCATCATCACCCTCAACGGCACCGAGTTGAGGATTACTTCGCAGTGATAATGATCTTGCAAGAGATCTGGGTGGACTTTTACCTGGTTACAATAAATATTATTTTATCCCATTTTTTGAAGAAAAGTCCAGAAAACTCAAAGCCTTCAAAATTTTAGTATTTCTTCTTTTTTTCAGCTGCTGTACATACGGGCATATAAAACCATTTTCATTCAGGAAGAAGAAAAGGAGAAATAATAAGGAGAGAGAGAGAGAGAGATGCGTTCAGGAGAGTTTGCTAACTCGGTAAACTTAACCGATGCACACGAACCAACTCAAGTCGTAAGTGACATTCAAAAGTTGGGTTTAGTAAAACAACTTGTGCAAAAGTTTCTTTATTTGCATTTCATCCAGCATCACAAGAAGAAGAAGTAAGTCGGATACAGGACGAGGAGACCAAGTAATACATATATTTGGAGGAAGTTGTTCTCTCCCAATCTTGCGTCCCTTCAAACCACGTCGTCGTCTCACTGTTTGCATATGTGTGTAAAGTGTCTTTCACATACATGCACATGTAGCGGGGTATACTTTGCAGCTTTATTTATTTATTTACCTGTAAGACATTCTCATCCACACAATTCGATCAACCCACGCTTAATTGAACACAGAGGCGGGTAGGCAAGCAGGGAGGTTGTATGAACCATTATTATTTTCCGAAAATTTAATGAATGTCAATCTTGGTTTATTTAAAATTTGGAATTAATTCAAATTTGGATGGCAGTGAGAGACGTAGAGTTAAAGGGACTGTTAACCTTTAACGTCTCATAGAGGAAGGAGTCAATAACGAAAGAGACAGACGAAACCGCAGGGAGCTTCATGCGCAAATAGTTCCACATGTGTGCATAGATATTTACGTGCATCCTCATTTATGCAGACGCTCATCTATCAATTCCTATTTGTTACTACATATATTTCCAGGAGGGGTCGAAACCCATCGTCGTCAGGTCAAGAACATATTCACGCTCTTCAGTTAAAACTCTGCCCAAATCACAGATCACTTTGTTGTTCGACTTGTACATAATTATTCATGTTCATATATAGATGTGGTTTTCTAGTTTGCATATCGTATGACCTGATGAAAATGAAATGAAAATCTACGTTTACATATAAACATTTACAATTTCTTTGTCTGTATTTTGTCCAGAAGATGAATCTCATTTTCTGCAATGTATTTGCAGTGATTTGAACATAACAGAGCAATAATGATGAACATTACAAGTATCCACTGTGTAGGGATTTGCGATTTGCACACCAGTTAATATAGTAGAAATTTGCAAAAATACGAATGTCAACGTCCGGAGTCTAAGCCGGACTACGACGACATTTTACACATTGCTATTGCCTTTAACTAACTGGCCTCCTACTCAAATAAGTATTTTCTCCCATACCACCTCTGCTTTTTATTTTGGATAATGCTAAGCTTATGTCCTCCTATGGAGTCGGGCTACTGGAGAAAGTCCCGGAGAAATTCAGGGTAGCCGAATCATACCCGGGACACAGTACCCGTCACCTATCCGCCCACACGGGTATTATTTCTGTCGCGACTTTTGCACAAAATCATATTTGCCCAGAGTAATAATCGCCAAGAAGCGGAAGCGGTTTCGCACTAATTGCGCTCATAAAGATGGATAATTTGTGTAATTAGCCCTCCATTGAGGCCTCACTATTCATTCAAATTTCGTCTGTAGGGAGGGAATTTATTTTTTTCATCCAGAGTGTGAATGAGATTCCTTTGTTGGTGGCAATTACATTTCAAAGAGCCCTGTTCCACCTGCTCGTGACTTAATTGCTCACTATAACTCACTCCAATAATTCCACCACCAAGTAACCACCCCACAAGTTAAGGACTTTGAACTTGTCGACATTTTTTCCACTGTCATCTCAACGGCTCATGACGTGTATTGCAATTGTCAAGTAGACCTTTGCACAATAACCATTTTTCCATTTCGAATCCCTAATATCATTTCGTAATAATGACCACAAATGAGTGTCCACCTTGACATCACAATGATTAAATTATAAATTTATAAATTATTATTAAATTATAATTAAGTTATTAGTATTAAGTATTAATAACTTGTCCGGTATTAAAAAAGAGAAGATCTATATATACAAAGTAATTGTTACCTTTTTATTCGTACATACAAATTATTTAATTTTGACTCATCTTGTTTTTTTCAATCTTAAAATATTTTCAGTCTTAAAATATTGTGTTCAGTAATAAGATTTCGAACACTGGTATGATAAATTACTCATCCGAATTAAAATTCTAAAACCAAAACTACTCCAATGCGCGAGATTATAAGCATGAAGTGAATGTGATGGGAGGAAATGAGTAAGCAGAAGTATGTGAATAATTAAGAGTGAGCAAATACAAAAGACGTCGTTTCAACCTTCTTATTTTTCCAAACGAGCGTTGGCTGCTCTTTAGTGTACAATAAATACCTTCCTTACACGGATGTAGTATAAATACAATGTCAAATTTGTGTCATGTCCACAATTTCAATTAAATGCCCATCCCATGATCAGAATTATTGCTGTTAGCTTAAAACGTGTATGTTTCTGAGCCATATTGTGTACAAAATTTAGCCCCATAATTAGCTTAAAATTAATAAAACTAATTTAGTAAAATTCAATCGAATAATTTTAGATATTCATTTACATAAAATTTTCACCAATAGAGCAAAGCTCGTTTGTTTAGTATTTACTTTACGGAGAAAGTCGCTTCTCATTTTTACAACTTACTATTATGTAAAACAAGAGTGAAAGAACATGTTTGGATTGAATTCTGCTGGAATCTCACCTGCCGAGATGAGATTCAGCCTTCAAGTGGTTACCCAATAAAGTGAAAAAATCTCATTCATTCATTGCGCTCTATCATCTGTTTTGTTGAAAAACATCATAAAAAAGTTAAGCTTGCCGTTTTTTTCTAATATGACAATAAAGTCAATCAATTTGACCAAGTGCTTGGTTGCTAATAAGCAAGGACATTTTAGATGCAGTGGAAAATCCAATGTAATCAGACCTTTTTGTATTTATGTTTAATAACGAAATTAATTTTTAAAGTAGTGATTAATTTCAGAAAGAACGCCGCCGCTTTAAAATGACAAAGTACAAATGTTGAGATCAAAACGGTGTAAAATTTAGCATCTTTGTATGTTTTATGTCCGAATGTGATAGTACGTGCATCCTTTACAAATAGCGCATACATACATATGCATATGTGTACCTATGTACATATAGCTAAATGTGTGTAGTGGTAAATAATTAAAGTTGGAAAATTAATTTAAAACAAGTAGCATCCACGCACAAACTGGAAGTTGACGAGGAAGGTGCAATTTTAAGGATTCTATGGGCGCCCATACAATGAATAAATATTTGCACTATACGTAGTTCCTATGTACATATTATTATACACAATTATGGTATCGGATTTCTTCAAAAAGTGTCAATTTTTGGCAAGCTTTTAAACACAAGTTTAAATTACGGGTAAAGAATTGAAACCCATCTTTGATGGATCCTTCATAAAAAAGTCGCCAGGATACTTCGGGTAAATTGAAACTATTAATTCTGAGGGACTTGGCGACGTACCCTGTTTAACGACGGCGATTTGTGCTCCGTTTCTCAACTTGAGTGTCCATTGTTCTCCGGCGAGCGTGTAATTCATGACAACGCGGATGAAATCTTAGGAGTACAACAATTCAACCCGTTCTCATAATGTTCGCCCACTTTAATGCCATGCAAAAAATTATACAGTCCAAACTGCAAGCAAAGCAGCCGAAGCTTGAGGTGAACATGAACATTCACATTCACACTTATGAGTCACTTTTCATTTTATCGCCACGTTAAACCACGTCTTAAATTCACTCAGACCTCTCCAGCAGGCAACACTGACTTCCACCCAATTGACCACCTAGTCGTTAAACAAACGGTAGGATGGAACGTCAAAATAAATGAAAGAGTATCCATTGAACGCACCCATCCCTCATTTTATATTGTTTCCACACATCCAACAACGTCAAATTAATATTTCCTCCGTTTCCCCAGCTCATCACATCCAAACCAACAAACGCTAGGTTTTGCGGTTTCTGGATTTTTCATTTCATTCTTGTCAACCAAACTTACATTTTGACGGGAACTCTTTCTCTCTCTCTACCTCCGTCCTCTGACATCATACTCTCAGAAAGTATACGATTCTACATGACACCCACCAGATTTTGAAACAGTAGACACGCTTATATGCAGCAACGACCAAGGATTTATTAGTCTCGTTCCCATTGCGCACGCAGGGGATCGAACGGTCTACTTTAAATGCATA